GAGCATTTGATGCTCCGCTCCAAGTTGATCCTATCTCAGTTCTTCGTGGAGAATCTTGCTATAGGAACAACTTGCTTGAGGTGCCTCAGTATTTGCAGAACAGACCAAGTGGTTCTGAGATGCATTGCATTGGTTTGTGGCCACATGGAAGTGAGCTTTGCATAGAAAGTCCAAAACGACATTCATTATACTGTGAGAAGCATTTACCAAGCTGGCTTAAACGTGCGAGGAATGGCAAGAGTAGGATTATTTCAAAGGAAGTATTCATAGAACTTTTGAAGGATTGCCAGTCCAGGGATCAAAGATTGTATTTACATCAAGCTTGTGAGCTTTTCTATAGACTTCTCAAAAGTTTACTTTCTTTGAGAAACCCAGTTCCAAAAGAAGTGCAATTCCAGTGGGTCATATCTGAAGCTTCTAAAGATCCAATGGTTGGTGAATTCTTAATGAAATTAGTTTGTACTGAAAAACAGAGGCTGAAAAGTGTTTGGGGATTTAGCGCTAGTGAAAATGCACAAGCTTCCTCTTACGTCAAAGAACCAATTCCATTATTAAGGATTACGGATAATGACCAGGATCATTGTGATGTCATAAAGTGCAAAATTTGCTCTGAGACGTTTCCAGATGAGCAAGTGCTTGGCACACACTGGATGGACAGCCACAAAAAGGAAGCCCAATGGCTTTTCAGGGGTTATGCTTGTGCTATCTGTCTGGATTCTTTTACTAATAAGAAAGTTTTGGAAACTCATGTGCAGGAAAGGCACCATTCACAGTTTGTTGAAAATTGCATGCTTTTTCAGTGTATTCCGTGTACTAGCAATTTTGGGAACTCAGAGGAGTTATGGTCCCACGTGCTCACCGCACATCCTTCCAGTTTTAGATGGTCTCATACTGCTCAAGAGAATCATTTTCCTGCAAGTGAGGTTGCATCAGAGAAGCCTGATATAGGCAACTCCTTGTCGACACAGAATTTCAATTCAGAGAACCAGTCTGGTTTCCGAAAATTCATCTGCAGATTTTGTGGCCTGAAATTTGACTTGCTACCTGATCTAGGCCGCCATCATCAGGCTGCTCACATGGGTCCTAATCCTGTTGGCTCTCATATCTCCAAGAAGGGCATCCGTTTATATGCTCATAAATTGAAGTCAGGAAGACTTAGCCGTCCAAAATTCAAGAAGGGTCTCGGATCTGTAGCATATAGGATTAGGAACAGAAATGCTCAGAATATGAAGAGACGCATCCTGTCATCGAACTCCATTATTAGTGGAAAACCTTCGATTCAACCTAGTGCAACCGAGGCAGCTGGTCTAGGTAGACTGGGAGATCCCCACTGCTTAGATATTGCAAAGATATTGTTTGCTGAGATTAAGAGAACAAAGCCACGGCCAAGTAACTCAGACATCTTATCAATAGCTCGGATTACTTGCTGCAAAGTAAGCCTCCAAGCATCACTTGAAGCAACATATGGAATTTTGCCAGAGCGCATGTATCTCAAAGCAGCAAAATTATGCAGTGAGCACAACATCCTTGTCAGCTGGCACCAAGATGGTTTCATTTGCCCCAAAGGATGTAGACCTGTTCATGACCCTTTCATAGTATCTTCATTACTTCCCCTTCCTGGTCAAGTGAATAGAACTGGAAGTATTCCACCGAATTCTGCTATTAGTGAGTGGACTATGGATGAGTGCCACTATGTCATAGATTCTCAACAGTTCAAGCACGAACCATCTGACAAAACTATTCTCTTGTGTGATGACATAAGCTTTGGACAGGAGTCAGTTCCGATAACTTGTGTGGTAGAAGAAAATCTTTTTGCCTCCCTCCACATTCTTGCTGATGGCTCCAATGGCCAAATTACCACAAGTTCTCTACCTTGGGAGAGCTTTACCTACGCAACAAAACCATTGATTGATCAATCCTTGGATCTTGCAATAGGGGTAACTTGTTTTGACTTCTAGTATTCCATGCAACTTCCATTTCATCTGGCGAAGCACCGGAACAAATGGTTTTCATAACCTCGAGTTGTTAATTTCCCTCAGTCACTGTCTCTTCTCCTCTCTAATCATCTTTTCCCTTTTATGGCAGAGTTCCCAATTGGGGTGTGCTTGTCCAAATTCAGCATGCTCTTCTCAAACTTGTGATCATATTTACCTCTTTGATAATGATTACGATGATGCCAAAGATATTTATGGGAAGCCTATGCGTGGAAGGTTCCCATATGATGAGAGAGGTCGGATCATGTTGGAGGTAAAAATATATTCCTTTGATTTTTCTTTCCTAATTTTGTGATTTGCAGTCCGTATTTTTTTTGGCTGATAATTAAAAAGATAAGGATGCCTTGTGTACTCTTGTCATTAAAAAGATAAGGATGCCCTGTGTATATCTTCTGCTCAATAATATGGATTTGTCTTATAACTGTGTTGGCTGAAGAGCATTACAGTATGATAATCATACATGATGCTAGAAATTTGTAGGGTGTGCTCGATTTTATAAGCATTTTGCGCCTGATTATCTACTTGATTTTCAGGAGGGCTACCTTATCTATGAATGCAATCAATGGTGCTCGTGCAGTAAATCTTGTCAGAATAGGGTTTTACAGAGTGGAGTGCGTGTGAAGCTAGAAATATACAAAACCGAGACAAGGGTAACACTTTGATCTGAAATTATGAAGGCGTGAGTTTCTCTAGTTATTTACTATTTTGTCTTACAGGGATGGGCAGTCAGGGCAAGAGAAGCAATCCTTCGTGGTACATTTGTGTGTGAATATGTAGGAGAGGTACTTGATGAGCAGGAAGCAAATAAGAGACGCAATAGGTTGTAAGCTTATAACACATTCTACTTGGTAGCTAAAATTTCTTTGTTGTATGTCATTGTACCTTATTTATATCTGGATCCACCTATTTGAGTAGGTCTGCCACAGAAGGTTGTGGGTACTTCTTGGAGATAGATGCTCACATCAATGATATGAGCAGACTGATTGAAGGGCAGTCTCCATATGTAATTGATGCTACTAACTATGGAAACATTTCCCGTTATATCAACCACAGGTACTGTTACAGCTCTCTTCTTGATTTGCTTTAATCTCAATGTGGTTATAATTGCCTTAATTTGCATTATATTGGGACCATCAGCTCCAATAGAAGTGTATAAGTAAAGGCAATGTGGAAATATCACGTCTCAAAGTTCCTTTATAAATGCCAAACGATGCTTATAATGGTCAGTTCATTAACTGAAGATTGACAAACCAACAAATCTATTATTACAATGCCAGCTTGAAATTCCTGTACTAGCCAAAAATTCAATTGAGTTCTACTCCAACTTGCTATAAAGATAAACGGTCTTCTTTTATGTAAAAATCACTGTTAAGCAGTCTGCAAGAATACCATCTTTTTGCTCCACCCGTGCATGGCACTCCTTGCCCACGGAGCAGCATACTGAAAAAAATTCACAATCAGGATACAACAACTGATTTACTATCTTTTTCTGTTCTTTTTTTTTTAACTTGCACTCTAGTGATCGATTTGCTTAACTCAGCTGCATACAAAGCATAATTCATGTTTTCAATTCCGCCAACTTGTTCTCACTTCTGCCATTCCGTGCTTCTACCTAACCTACCTGTGTGTTGCTGAGAGATTCAAATAGATACAACTATTTGGGATTACATTGGGTACACTGTTGTTGTATAACTGTGTGAAAGTTTGTCCTATGTCTGACATCTTTTATTTTTTGATGATTGTGTAGAGTTTCTGCATATGATTTACACCTTGGTTTCTTATGAAGTAGTTTCCCATAAACACTGCACCGCGTTTTTGCCAAGCAAGATAGCTTTTTGGTGGGACCCTTCTTATAGAATGTAGAACAATTATACTGGTGTAGTACGGATTGCATTAGGACATAATGAGTACTACAACCATGCTGCCTACATGAAAATCTTAATAGATGAAATGTTCCTACTTAGAATGTATATGAAATTAGGATGGCTTCCAATGGCCTGTAGATTGCTGCTTGTCAATGGAATGATCCTTAAATGTCTTATTTGTAACTCGAGGAGTTTTAAGTTCTCTTCTGCTGTAAAAGTAGCATACCCACAAACACAGAAAAGAAAAAAAAAACAATATTGATAAGTGAAACAGTAGCTGTTTTTTTTTTTATTTCCTGCTGCTGATCATGAGTTGATGTGTAATATTATTTCAGATTGCTTTCAGTTAAGTTCTTACGAGAATGTTTTGGTTCCTTTTTTGTTGCAATTAGTTGCTCACCAAATCTCGTGAATTACCAAGTTCTCGTGGAAAGCATGGATCATCAGCTTGCACATGTTGGTTTTTATGCAAGGCGAGATGTATGTTCTCTCTCCTCTTTGGTAAATATTGGTCAAGTGACGATGCACCATTGTATTAGTCAGATCATGAAAAAAAAGATTATTGCTGCTTGTTCTTATTTTTTCTACTGGATTTTTTTTGGGTAACTTGATTTGACCTCAGCTAGGACTGGGTTTATCCCCTCATGTCTCAAGTTATTCATTGTGCCCCCTCCTCTTTCGCGTTTCATGACTGACATATTGTGTGCCCCCTCGATTTCCTTGAGCAGATACTTGCAGGTGAAGAACTGACCTATAACTATAGATACAAACTATTGCCCGGAGAAGGGTCTCCATGCCTGTGTGGATCCTCTAATTGCAGGGGACGTCTTTACTAAATCCTCTACTTAATAGATTGTGCATTCAGAGGTTTATGAATTCAGATCTGTAGAGATTCGGAATCCCGAGGACTGGTGTGTTTGCAGGAAGCAAAAAGTTTGTAATTGTCCTTAGTTTATAGTTTGTGTGACCTAGGTTTGTCACACGTCTTCTAGTGATGTAATGAACTTTTTACCATCACAGATTTGTAGCTTTTCCAGTTTGCTTTTTTTCTACTCTACAGTTTCTGGGGTCACTCACTCTTCAATTTCAATCAGAAATGCTTGGCCAAATTTCCACTCATAAAAATATAGAGGCAAGAACATGAGTCTAGACACTGCTGCTAGTAAGATTTTCTTTTTCCTGTAAATTTATTACACTGGGGATCGATTTAAAGGAAGGGTAAACAGAATAGTGAGAATTAAACTCGAACCCAACTTATGAAATACTTTTACTGATACCACTAGACTTAAAATATTGTAAGATTAGAACTTCATTTCCGGCTTTGAGAACAAAAAGAAAGCGAAGGACAAGCCATAACCTATTGCAACCAAGATTGACTGACCTGCAAGCAAAAAACAGACGCATGACATAGTGGAGAAGCAGTGATACAAAAAGCTAAAAACATTCAACACATATGAGAACCAAAACCAAAGGAAGAGGTGTAGAACAATTACCAAGTTCAACATGGTTTGAAAGGGTTGTATTATTAGGGTTTCCTTTTTGAAGTTGTATAGACATGGAGAGAATAACAAGTCCACTTCCAACCTTTTCCCTCACAACTCTCTCCCTCATATCAAATGACCAAATTCCAGATATTCCTTGAAGAAAACAAACATCTTTGAGGAATAAGATGGTTCCCAACAAGAGAGTAGTTTTGGCTATTTTGTTTGATCCATTGACCAAGTTGACAAGGCAAGCCATTGCATATAGAGGAAACCACAAATACCAATCTGAAACCCAAAAACAGAAGGAAATGAAATCTCACTTAGGGATGGATAGCTAAATGAAGAAAGAGTAATTACCAGGGTCATTGAATTGGAAAGATGCAGAGAGAGCAAAAAGGAAAGCCATTAATAGTGAAGAACACGTAGAAACTGTAAATCTTGATGATTTCATGTGTTTTTGAGAAGATGATTCTGCTTTCATGTTGTATCTACTGGTGTAGAGATTTGACTCTTCCTTTGAAGTTGTGCCAGGAAGATTAGATGATCTAAGCCAACTACTTTCATTGATAAACAAGTACAGTAGTATATTTTATTGTGAAATGATGTTGACCAGGACTTTTGCATCCCTTCACCAAAATTTTTTCATGGTTATGAGGAGAACTCAAAACTTGATAAATTTCACCATTACTTGTTAACGGTGTCGAGTAAATCTATTTATCAATTTAAGGCTTAACTAAAGGGGAAGAAATCCTTTTATCTCTTATTTGTTTGCACTTGATGAAAGTTTAAATTAAATGATTTATATCTAAATTATTAAGTGTATTTATTTAGATTAAGATTTAAGCACTTACTTAGTATTAGATAAGTTTAGTCATTAAGCTCTTGAGCTAAGTCTTAATATTATTAAAAGGTACTTTTGTGTGGATAATTTCACCCCATTCTATTGACAGTCACTACTGTTAGCTACCACCTCAATCATCCCTATTGCCATCACCACAACCATTACATGTCAACCATCACTGGGCACTGACAACCACCGCCGGTGCTAACCATTAGTATCAATCGCTATCACACCTATTACTTCTCCATCATTATAATTAGTTCACTATCACCAACCTCACCACATCCATTGTGACTCTCAACCACAATCATCACTGTAGCCAATTCCTATTACAAACAACCTTTACCATCAACACATTGTCAATCACCACACAATTTTTTGGTTACCACCATCAACAATACCAACCAGTTTCACCACTGACAATCACTATCACTGTCAACTACTACTGTCGATCACAACCATATCCACTACTCCATCATTATAATTATATCCTTTGACATTGACATCACCATCTCCACCATTATTATTGGTACAATGTGACCAACTCCTATTACCAACCATTTCCACTTCCAACACATCATCAAGCACCCATTCAATTGATGAAAACAAATAAGAATATAGCTCTTTATGTACTCCTTGGGCATAACCTACTTTTTTCCAAAAAAAGTTTAAGAATAGAAAAAAACTCCAGCTTTCCTGTTAATTTTTCTGTTAACAGGTATTACTCCATAATTTACATTTTTCACTACTTCAATTATCAAATTTTTCTCTAATTCCTTTATGTTTACTTTATTTATCGAATATATTCAATTAGAACAACAACATATATTTGTCCTAAAAATAAAATGAAATATAAAGAGCCTCGAGATTTTTAAATTGGGTAAACAGATCATACTCATAGTTAGGTCTTCTCTATTTGTTTCTTTTGTTTTTCATTTAGAATTCGCGCCGCAAAATTTCCATGCTCCCTAGTAAAAATAATGTAATACGGAAAAAAATAAAATAAAATAAAATTTAAATTCAAAATCTCTTAATTAAAAATTGTATGTCCGGGAATATATATATGATCAGATTCTTAAACGAAGTCCCATTCCCATATATTTTACAACGATGAAGGCTGTTTTAATATTAGAGGGGCACATAGATTTTGTAAGATACCACACTTTCAAGTTCCACCCCACATGGAGCTAGCATATATAGTAGGAATTAGAAGAATGATAAAAATACCAATATATAATAAAATGGGGCCAAGCCAATATTGGTGTGACAAAGAGAGGTAACTAATTACAATAGTGGACTTCTTTTTGTACACTATCTATAACTACTCATGACAAGAACGTGTCTCTTTTCTTCTTATAATAATAATTACACTCACATAGTGTCATCATCACTTTGCACATCCTATATTCTAAAACATTACTTTATACTCCATGGAAACAAAAGTATTACTGTATTAATGCACCCACCTTCTTTTATTTTGATATCAATAACTACACCTAAATTTGGGTTGAATAAAGATGTAGACTTCATTTTTCTCTTTAATTTGCACATAATCAAGATATCCTAGGAAAGTAGAAATGAATCAACTCTCAAAGTAAGGGTCCTAAGTTTGGTTATAGAAAATTAACGAGATTCCCCCCCCCCCCCCCCCTTAAAATTAGGCGTATAGATATGTTTATGAATTTCGAAAATAGTTTAATTTCTCATGAGGAATAATATTATATTTTTTTAATGACAGGTACAATTTTTTTTTTTTAAAAAAAAGCTACTAAGATTTAAATTATGACCTCCTGACTATTAAATTGTTTTGAAAGGAAACTTATATCTCATTGAGAAGCAAATATGAGATTTTGTCGCAAAGTATGGAATTAGCTGTAATATGGAGTAAAGAATTGACATTAAACAGTAAGTGACGTTTAATGTCAATAATTTGTCAACTAGTCATGAGTTTTGTTGGCTAAATCTCAATCATGACAAAAATCATCTTTATGTAAATTATTCTTTAACACTTTTGTAGTTAGTGAGTGGAAATGAAAATAGAAAAGAGTTGAAAGAGAAATATATGCATGTACTATATATATATTTTAAATATTGTCAAAATGTCAATAATTAAATAACCATGTAATTAACTTCTTTTTTTATTTGGTCAAAACTTACTCGAATAGGGGAATAATCAACAAGTTTCGATTACAATTGCCAAATTTTGGGAACATGCAAATTTTAATAGATGCTTTTAATAAAAGGAAAAATTAATGGGAAGTCTACTTCTTGGAGTTCCATCCATTAATTTTCTTCCGTTACCCCTACGGCAAAGTTGTCGTACCATTTTCATTTTTTATTTCTTAACTTCGATCCCCACTCCCATACATAGCAAATAAAAATCTATATTAATTTGCTGTTTTTACCTTTTGGTTTTGATTTTTTATATAATCAAGAAGATTTAATTTCAAATTTAATATTCTCTCCATCCCATAGATGAGTACTTTCTATTTTATGCCATAAATTAAAAAATTATTATTAGATTGATTTTAAATTTACTATTTTGTCCTTCACTCAAATTAATAATTAGTCTCCTGAATAAAAAAATTCTATATCTTCAAAATATGTTTATTTTTATTCAATTTGATTCAATAAGTGATCAAATATATTACTTCTGGTGATTCTTTGAGGGTAGTCTTGTCATTCAATGAACTATGTTTGGTTTGAAAATGATGGTGATTTCCTTATCTTGAATTGATGAATTTTTCTTCTTTTTTGTAAATAATTTAAGGAGAATCAATTCTGCAAAGACCCAGAAAGCAACAGGAACATTTTTTTTTGAAAAATAAAAATATAGTATAAAAACCAAATAAAGCAAAAGCAAGATTGGGACTTTGAGAAGACAACCCAAATGCATGCCTTGTTAGAGTGTTTTTTAAGGGAAAAGGATAAAATAAAATTGTGAGACCTACAAAAGCAGATTCATAATAAAAACAGAATAAAGAAAGTAAACATCATCAGTGAGACAAAGTGATAAAGTTGCAAAAGACACAGCGCATAAGCCATCACTCTCATTTCTTTTCTTTTATTTATTTATTTGGACCCCAATTTTTCAATTCATATAGGAGGGGAGCTCATCATTCCACTCTGTTAAATCTCTGATTTGGTGGTTCCCTTCATGCTTGACATCAAAGCTTTCATTCAATCATTTTCAATGCCTCTTCCTTGGACTTTTAAATTAAAAGATTTGGGGTTTTCAAGAAAATCTCAGATAGCTCTCTCTGTTTGTAGTTGAGTATTTGTTGTTTTCTCTATTTCAAGAATTTGGGTGTTTCAAGAATCCCTTTTGTCCTGCCATTTTACACCTTTAGGAGTGGTGAGTTTCAACTCTTCTTTCTTTGTTTCTTGACAACTATACTGTTAAAGGTTTGATCTTTTGTTTTGTTTGCTGTCCTTTTGGAGAACGAAAGAAAGGAACAATTTGTGTTTTTTTTATTGTTAAGTGTTGGAGTAGTAGCTATCTTTTATCAGAGGGGAAAAGATTAGCTCTTTGATGTTTTGTCCTAATTAGTAGATATTCATTCTTATGATCAAAGAGTTCCTTAGTTCTGTGTAGTCAACCTGATTTCAATTTCATCATCCCTTAAGTAAAAAAAATGCAGAACTTCCCCATGATAACGCATAGTGGATGTTGTAAATGCCATATATTGAATTAGTTAGGCATTGAGTCTTTTCAAGAATGGCTGAAATTAGACTGACAAAGGTAGAACAAGGCCAAACCAAAATTAGGAATGTTCCAATTGCTGTGACCCCAGAGGGTTTCTGGTGTTGTCCCTCTCCCAATGTGTTCCAGAAGAGCCTTAAAACACCGAATCCTTTAAACAAGCCCAAAGCTCCACTTCCTACAACTCAAACCCCAGCTCACAAGAAACAAACTTCAGTAACTGAGAAAAGACCGGCTAGTGCTGCACCTAAGTCGGGTGCTGTTTCTGATGAAAAGCGAGGTGTTAGTTCTGATACACCTAGTGTTACCGCATCGGTGCCTGCGGAGAGAACGCCTCGGTCCAAGACTGAAAATGTACCAAGGAAAGTGTCGATTGAGTTTGGTGAGCCTGGAACTAGTGATCTTAGGGTGATCTTGCTAGGAAAGCAGGGGTTTACTGTGAAGTTGAATGTTCACAAGAATATTCTGGTAGCAAATAGCAGTTTTTTTGCAAATAAAATATCAGTACAGCAGCCAGTTTTTCCTTGCATTGAAATTGATGATTGCGAGGATGTTGAGATATGTGTTGAAACCATTGGCCTCATGTATTGCAAAGAAATGAAGCAGCGGTTGATCAAGCAAAGTGTTTCTCGTGTTTTGCGTATTATCAAGGTAATTTGGAAATCATGAGATGGACTTCCCTTTATATACATCTTTGAAAGTTTCCACTAGAACTGCTGCTTATATGTCAGATAACTACTTAATGTTTTGTTGATGCAAGTAGTTAACTTAGTCATCAGTTTCCCATAAAGTTTCGTTCTTCCCATTTTGTAAATGTAGTAGAAATATACTAGGTTGCTGTATATCTGCTGTAGCTCTGTGCTTCCATATGCTTAGAGTGATCGATAAATGTATTGAAAGATGCTTAAAGATGAAGGCGTAAACTGTTCAAAGCAATTTGTTTCAGTTCAAACTATAGCTTTGACATACATTTTAATGGAAACATAAAACCTAGCTCGTTTATCAGTATATTCCATATACACTGTAAATTTGATAATGTTAGGTAGTAGATGATACTGATATGAGTTATAGCATGCTGATGGTTTTTAGAAGAATCTTTTTCAGTCATCAGCATGATGAAGCCCTAAAGAAAATTGTAGGCATTTCTTTAGGGTAACAGTCAGAATATCTGGAGGACAAGTTAAATTTTGATGGAGAATATCTGGAGGACAAGTTAAACTTTGAT